CAAGAGTGGAGGCAGAGTGGAGGTGAGCTAGGCCGGGGGGGCGGGGAGCTGCCCATGGGTGCAGAGCACCCACCAATTTTTCCTCCTTGGGTGCTCCAGACCCAAAGCACCCATGGAATCGGCGCCTATGCTGCCAAGGTAGATTACCCAGAATTTAACATATCTAGATGCTTCCCTCCACACTAGGTCACTCTCACTGGATGTGGACACAGCTTTGGGTATCAGGGGAACCTTTACTTTTCAAGTCCACACCATTTGGACAGCGGAGGGTAAAGCCCTAGCTTTGATCTCCTGGGCGTGGGCATGTTTTCTAGAAAAGCACTGCTCTATTCCACACCCTTACGCTAGTGACCCTCATTTTCAAACAGCCTCAGCTTTGCAGAGCGGAGCACCTAGGAATAAATTCAGCACCTTCATCTTGGAGCGAAGGAGCTGGTTTTAAATCACTTTTCAGCTTAGAGAAGTCAGATTGCACTTTGACTCCCTTTATGTACACACTGAAGGATGACCGTCGGAACAGCTGTGAAACACCGATAAGGCTGGGAGCAAGCTTGCAAGACCATGGAGGAGGGGACTGGAATCATCATTCACTTCCCCACTCTTCAGCCCTTCTTTTTTTTGTTATTGCCGTATCTGATAGTGCTGCAAGGAGTGGCCTCCACAGGGAGCAGGGTTTTGCCAAGGTGTGATGCTTAACGCCTGAGGGTGGAACTGATCTGGTAAGAGCCGTAATGACTATCGTGGGTGTTCAACTTGATGCAAATGCACCTCTGTTGCCTAACACATTGTATGACCTAGGGCTGGGGTTCTCAAACTGGGGGGTCAGGACCCCTGAGGGGGTCGAGAGGTTATTACATGAGGGGTCACGAGCTGTCAGCCTCCACCCCAAACCCCGCTTTGCCACCAACATTTATAATAGTGTTAAATATATTAAAAAGTGTTTTTAATTTATTAAGGGGAGGGGGGGTCACACTCAGAGGCTTGCTATGTGAAAGGGGTCACCAGTATAAAAGTTTGAGAACTACTGACCTAAGGCAATGGTTCTCAACCAGGGGTACGCATACCCTTGGGGGTACGCAGAGGTCTTCCAGCCGGGTACATTAACTCAGATATTTGCCTGGTTTTACAATAGGCTACATAAAAAGCACTAGTGAAGTCAGTACAAACTAAAATTTCATGTGGATGACTTGTTTATACTGCTTTTATATACAATTCACTGAAATGTAAGTACAATATTTATTTTATAATTATATGGTAAGAATGGGAAGAAGCAATTTGTCAGTACTAATGTGCTGTGACACTTTTGTAGGTTTAGGAGGGATAGCTCAGTGGTTTGAGCTTTGGCCTGCTAAACCTAGGGCTGTGAGTTCAATCCTTGAGGGGCCCATTTAGGGATATGGGGCAAAAATTGGGGATTGGTCCTGCTTTGAGCAGGGGGTTGGACTAGATGACCTCCTGAGGTCCCTTCCAACCCTGATATTCTATGAATCGGACTCCTGAAAGGAGTACAGTAGTCTGGAACAATTGAGAGCCACTGACCTAGGCAGCGGACAGTTCCATGCATCAGAGCGACTCTGGACAAACAAGACTGCACCTCCACTCCAAACGTGAAGTCTGCTCCCCTGTGGCTGCCCCTCTGCATGGGAGATGGCCAAGGGCAGATCGGAGTCTGAGCTCTGCTCCAGAGCGGGAGGCAGGGAGGGGAGGATTGGGGTTTTGGTGGAGGTGTTGCTTAGGCTGGGGTTCAAAGGAGCCAGAGGCTGAGCCATATTCTTAGTTAGAAGTGACACAGCCTGGCTCTGCAACACGGGTCTCATTGTGGATGCCCAGAGTTAGTGTGCAGGGGAACTGCACACAGGGAGATGCAAGGCTGCTGCCAAAGAAACCACCTCCTGCTAATCACTCCTGCTGCATTATTTAGCCACACCTAGGTGACAAAGCATAAGCAGCCCCATCAGCTGGGGGTGAGCAAGTTGACTCATTCACATAAATTTCAGATAGTGCCTTCTCAAGATAAACAAGACACACAGCAGCTGCTGCCTGGCAAATCTCAAGCAGTCTGGAAACAGCCATGAACTGCAATCCTGCTTCTGCCACCAGAAAGTCACCTCCAGTTAAACCAGGGAAGAAAGTGCTTGGGAAAGGATCAAAGATGGGCAGGCCACAGCCTCCTGCCGAAAGTGCCTTATCAGAATTGTAGCATGCTGACTCTCTGGAGTGGATGGGTGTGGAGGAGGGAAAAGCCTCTTATACGCTAACTACATACATCACCGAGAGAACAACCATATCAGTGTATAACTTGCTTGCCTGAGTCCAGGCAGTCAGTCACGGGTTCACACCTTGTACAATGACTTACGTTCATATCCAGCGGTGACGCTGGAGCATGGTACAGAAGGAGGGGCACACTGCATTTTAAGAGGCGTTTTCTATGCTTGAAGAGTAAAAGCTGAAGATCAAAAAAGGTACACGTCAAAGGGGAATAGCATCCTGGCCAGCATTCCCCAGCAGTTCTACCCAGGCTCCAGCATCCAAGATGGACAGAGCTACTGGAGAGCACTACACAGGCCGGGCAAGCCTAGTGCCTAACGTCTGTAGCAGTTTGTACACTGCAAAGGAAAGTAAATCTTGTCCCACGTGCAGGGCGGCCAGCTGTGGATCTACATGTGCATCTGCTAATCACAGAACTCCTGTCCTAGCAAGGTCATTGTATCCATTCAGTCTCTTGCACACTAGCAGTTCTCTTACCGAACATCAGGACCAACCCACAATGTCCATCATGGTGAGAGGCTTATTCTTAGCAAGTTCAAGTGTCAGTCCGAGATGAGGGCTGGCAACAGGGAATGCAGTACATAAGCAGTCAACTCAAACTCAGCTCAGACAGGAACAGGGCGATACTGGTGGACAGAGGACAAGCAGAAGATCCCGCAAACACTAGGACCTCAGTATGTCTGTAGAACATCAGGAAGGTGCAGTGTCATTCTTGGCTCTGCGCTGTGTCTAGAGGCACAAACTGCAGAAGTGTCCAGGAAGGCCTCTTTCCACCTCCAACTGATCAATTGTGTGCCCACTCCTCATGGGCAAAGCCCGACCTCAGTGGGGTAGGGGAAGTCACACAGACACTGCAGGCAGTTTCAAAACATGGCAGTACATCCAAGTAGGACAGGTAAATGAGAACAAGTCACACCAGAGCTCCCTCACACTACCTTGGACCTTCATTCATATTTGATCCAGTTCAAGGTCATCTTCAAAGCCCTCAATGGGCTAGTCTGCCGGATACCTAAATGGACCACCACTGCTTCAAGACCCTCTAGAATGCCGCAATGAACAAGGACGCTGCAGCCAGCAGCACCTGGGCCAAGCATTCTTGGCTCTGAACTCACCACTGCAGGAGCTCAGGATGAAACTTGGGCTAAGCCTCCCCAGCTGCCCTACACATAACTTACATAGTTATCTGCAGGTTATCTGGAGCTCATGAATTTGGGGGACCTGAATCATAATTTTTGAATGCCCGGGGGTTGGCAACACAGAGCCTATGGAGGCCAAAGCATTTTATGGAGTTCCAAGGTTCTTTTGAAAGGAAAAGGCCATTTCTGAAATGCAACAACTTAGAAATTTCCTTCTAAGAGGTCGTGGATCAGGAGACAATGGCTAATTCATGTGTACAACAAAAAACATGGAAATAGCATCAGTTGGGTATTGAGGATTGAACAAAACGAAGTACCAAGCCATGACTCTTGCTGTCTGGACACTAAAATATCAGTATTGTCATTATATATTATCAGTATTATCATAATAACACTTGTATTATCAGTCCATCCTGCCCTTCACAGCTCTGTTTCTACGAGGAACCCTCACAGCCTCCTCTTCTCCCACCAGATGCAGTTTTTCCATAACCTTCTTATGGAAGTCAGTCTCTGTTGCACTCCAGCTGCCCTTGTAATAAGAGGACTAGAACAGTATCCTGGATTCCATTTGGACCATCACTATATTCTCTTCTAGTCCTACAATAATTTTCTGTCGTTTACGTACAATGCCGCCACTGTTTACATATCCCAGAGTGGTGTTTGCTGCCCAGTCGGCTGCTCTATTATGGCACAACGGCATGGAGCTGCACAACAGTGAAGAAAGCTCTCCTTCACACAGTCACATGTGGACAATTCGTGAGCACGTAGAACATGCGAGGGTACACTATGACCTCCAGGACTGCACTTGGGATACTGGAGCACTCTTCCAATTAATCTGGATTTACCACTGTGACAAAAGAAGCATATTTGGATGTTGGGGAGGGGAAGAAGAGGCAGAAGGGGGTACAGAGCCTTTTATCCTAGGTCAGCAGCTCAAATGCAGCCCAGGCAGCTAGTGATTATCATTCATTGCCTATTTGGTGGCCTACAGAAGCTAGCGTGTGGATCGCCAACACGTAGCGCCCCTTTGCTAGTGTGCACTTCTCAGAGAGGCCTTGGTTTGAATGGGCTTGGAAAATGCATGCCCTCCTCACTCCAAGAGATGGTGGCATGGCACGTTGCTAGGGCAGCACAGGGGAAGCTTTTGTGGCTGGTCTGGAGGAAAAAGACGTCAGTCTTTAATACTTTTGATAAGCATGCTAATTACGTTCACAGAATGTCAGAACCAGCAATGGTACTGTGTGGTATCCCGCTATGGGCATAACCCTCACCCGTGCCCATGGTTCTCACGCTAGCCCTTCTAATGGAGATGCTGTGACTCCAATCCAGTTTCGTTCCTGCAGGATCTAGATGATCTGTGCAAAACTCCATTCTTGTCCTACCTTGTGTTTATTTGGAACATCTCTGCTCCTGATCTGGATTTGGACTGTGTTCCTTACAGGTTTGAAGGAAGATTTCCATTTTCAGACACAGAGAAGAGTGATCAAACATGTTAGCTTCTGGAGATCATTTGAACAAAGTAACAGTGTTCGAGAAGCCAACATGCTTCTGCAAATACTATACACTTCTGCAAATACTATACAACCAGCTCCTTACCTTATCTGGATCTACTGTTTTACATCTAGGATCCATCCTATGGTTCATTGTTCGAGCTGTGGAATTTACTGGTTTCTCTGTCTCGAGAAGGCTCTAGAGAAGAACAAGAAACAATTAAATCCATAAGACATCACTTGAATTTAGTCCGGCAGCAATAAAACCTGAGGCGTATAGCTAAGACCCACATATTAAGCAGCTAGTCAGGATTTTTACTAAGTTCCTGCAGCAGATTTCATATGCATCAGGGAAGCACTAGTTTTATGCTGTCAGAAGTCTAGAATCTTTGTTCTTTGGTACATGACAAATGGCAAAACACCACTAACCCCTCACAATCATGTCAGTTATATACATACATACAGGCTTTACACAGAAGTCATTGAGTTCTGATAATGTTTTTTCCTGCAACTGTATTCACGTGGGCCAAGGTTTTGGGCACCTCCATATTTTTAGTGTCTAACTTGAGAAACCTTAAAGAGGCTTTCCCAAACTTCAGAGAGTGGGTGCTCTGTATTTTCTGAAAATAAGTCCCATTAAGGCTGCTCAAATGTTGGACCACCAAAAATCACTAGTGTCATTTTTGAAAAATCTTAGCCATGACCTGTGTGTGTGGAATAGCCATGTGTGGAACAAGCGCTCACAGATTAAATCCTGATGCTTGGCGGCATGTGGTGTCCCAGGCACACCATTATCAGAGCACCAACGAGCATCACTTTCCATTTTTTAAAAATCTTGAGGTGCAATTGTATTGTCCAGAGAAAAAACATTTCTACTAAACCTGCTTGGGAAACAGTTTTTTTGTCCTTCAAACATCCGATTCGAAAAAAAAAATTCCAGCCCAAAATTGGAATGAAGAGTCAAAAAAACCCCTCAATTTTCACACCCCAAAAATCCAAACCATTTTTGGATCGGGTCAATCAAATTATGGGTTTCAGTTTTGACTTTTGTCTTTACCATCAGTTTAGTTCAAAAAACTCTTAATTTTGAAACCTAACTGAATTTGTCATTTAGAAAACAAAATGGGATGTTTCAACAATTTCAGAACTCTCCCTGCAATGAGCTTCTGAAATAGGAAATTTCTTGAAACTGACCCATTCCCACAAAATTTTTGGTTTCAACTAAAACAGTATTTTCCGATGAAACAGCATTTAATCAAAGAGTTCCCAGCCAGCTTTAATTTCTACTAACTAGGCCATCAGTTCACTCTCAGCATTGCAAGCTAGATACCAAGTGACCAAGGTGGCTACCATGAGGACACCTTTCAAGCAGCAGCACCGCCCACCCCCAACACATCTGCAGACAGGCATTTTGACATCTTTGCAAAAAGAAAAGGAGTACTTGTGGCACCTTAGAGACTAACCAATTTATTTGAGCATGAGCTTTCGTGAGCTACATCTTTGGTTTCAGAAGCACAATGCTCCTGACAGGCATCGCAACAGCAGAAGTGGAAGGTTGAGGAGCTGCTGTGGACAACGGGGGGGGGCACATAAGCAGAGACGATGAGCAAATAAGGAGAACCACTATGAAAAGCAGCTGGAAACCCACAGCTCCAAATAGCCAAGTAAACTGGAAGTAAGGAGAGATCACCTACTTATAGCTCATGAAGAATCAGCCAAAAAGAGAACTAGACTAGGGGGTTACAGTCAGGAGAGCAAATTTTCTTGTTTATTTCTTCTTTCAAGCCATGTGTGCTTCAAAGGGGTTTACACACAAGCATTGGAAAGATGGGAAATCCAGCATTAAGGTTAACACTGGGGGAAAGTAGCAGACTGTATGGAAATGAATAGCTCCAGACAGACAGACAGCCATCAGCAATCAAACCCAGACACTTTCAACACAGTTAGCCTCATACACCTACCACTGCACCATGGCTCATTTACCATCAGCATGGCCACAACCCATGGCCAGTTCACTTCCCTTTGGCAAGAGCAATGCCAGCCTCTGCCCCATTCCCCGTTTTGACCCCTTGTTAGTATATAGGCTTCTTTGTTTGCCTGAAATAGAATTTTGGGTTTGACTTTGATACTTTTATATTTTTATTAATATGTGGATAAAACAAAGACACTGTGTTGCATTCTTCACAACCAGATGGGGCTTTTAGTACAATGGGAAGAGATAAGGTATAGAGCTAGTGTGTTACAGGGTATGGTGGGAGTGCAATGTATATGAGCATACACTAAAAGGCTGCCTGGCTCCTTTCTCAAGCCAAGGTCAAGCAACCAATTAGGACAGGTAAGGGAGGATGGGGGGGAGGCATAAGAAACACTAAAAGCCAAAGAAAAGCCTGGCCTTGGCCAGAACACAACCTCACCCCTCCCATAATATAAAAAAGGTGGAACGAAGACCCCAGACTCACAACCCTCCAAAACAAAACATGACAATAAGTTCTAAGGAGAGTAACTAGGGGCGTACCCTGCAGGTATATTTGGGCCTGCTAAGAAGGAGGAGGTGGGAATGGGGAGGTGGGACACAGGCAAGGCTCTGCAGTGTCACAGCTGGGAAGGGGGACCCAGGGGAAATGCTCTGCGGCATCAGAGCTGGGAACAAAACACTAGGAAACAGACTCTGCGGCATGTAAATCTATGAAGATGCTTGCTTGAAGCTTACCCCAACAAACATCGCAGTGCCTGCACTTTGGACTTCTGCTTTGTCTGTGTGACAAGAACCGGGGGAGGGGGTGAGGGGAAAGCCCTCTAGCACCCCTCACACCCAAGAGTGGAAGCAATGCACCAATTGGGATTTTATCATGATCCAAGAGTGAGCTAGCCATCTTCCAATACAAATAGGAAGGCCATCCATAATCACTCTCAGACCCTGCCAGCCAGGCTTCCAGGGAGACCAAGGACGCTCTGTATATCCCCACACATAGACCGTTACATAAACCACTGTGTGACGGCCACAGACTAAGGCCTTTAATAACTGTCTACTTTGCAACGTGTACAAGATTCATGGCCAAGCCGCCCATCTGGAGACTGTTATAGGGGTACCAACTAACTGCTATGCTTGTCAAAGACTTAAAATCATACAGTTATAGGGTTAGAAGGGACCGCAAGGGTCATCTAGTCTAACCCCCTGCCAAAACACAGGATTTGGCTTTACTCAATACAAAAGTTGCATAGACAGTAGTAAGACAGAGACTTTTGAGGTAGAACTCCTCCCCACTCCATAGTATTTGAAGCGTAATCTTAAACTTTATATTTATATTATACTCACACAGGAAATTCAGAGTTATTTTACATTATTCCACATACACCCCCAATCCCTCAGCACACACCATTTGTTTGCAACTAACTACATCTTAGCAGAAGAGCTTTAGCCTGTGAATTCTTCCTCCAGCCTTGGAGCAAGTTTTAGAGTCAGCAAACCCACCCAGATGTCTCCAAGGAAGAGTCCTCCTCACGTATACGGTATATGGTATGGAGGTGGAGGGGGAAGGAAAGGGAATGCGGCAGTTAAATTATGTAGATGTAGGCCAGTAGAGTAGCCTTCACTCCCACAGAGATATGAGTTGAGTCCCAACTTGGGAAACAAGTCAGTTCCAAAAATAAATCAGGGCACTGGACATAGTTGTCAGAATCCTTGAGAAGCCCATAACAGTTATCTACATCAAAAGCTATTCTTAGTGCTTGCCTAGAGCCAGTGCTTTGATGAGCATGAGCTTCCTCCACCTATGCCAAATACAGAGAAAAATAACCTCTTTACTCCGACTCAACTTTCCCCTGGATATGTATCCCAGGATTGCATTAGTCCTTTTGGCCGCAGTATCACACTGAAAGTTCATGTTCAGCTGATTATCCACCATGACCCCCAAATCTTTTTCAGAATCACTGCTTCCCAGGATAGAGTCCACCACATCCTGTAAGCATGGCCTACATTCTTCATTCCTAGATGTATACATTTACATTTAGCTGTATTAACATGCATATTGTTTACTTGTACCCAGTTTATCAAGCAATCCAGATCACTCTCTCTCAGTGATTTGTCCTTTTCATTATTTACCACTCTCCCAATTTCGGGGTCATCTGCAAACTTTATCAGTGAAGATAAAGCTAATTAATAAAAGTTGTTAAGCAGAATAGGGCCGAGAACCAATCCCTGCAGGATCCCACTAGAAACACAACTGTTTGATGATGACTCCCTGTTTAAGGTTACATTTTGAGACCTCTCAGTTTTCCAGCTTTTAATCTATTTATGTTGACTGGCATTAATTATATTACCCTCCTTTAAGTCTTGATTAATCAAGTCCCATGTCAGTAGCTCCATTATGTTGTCTGCGATTGGGGTCAGACTGACAGGCCTATAATTACTTGGGTAATCCTGTTTATCCTTTTTAAATATTGGCACAATAGCTTTCTTCCACTCTTCTGGAAATTCCCAGTTTTCAAGAGTTATTTGGAGGGGGGGGAATAATTAACATTAATGGCCCCATGAGCTCCTTAGCTAGCTCTTTCAAAACTCTTGGATGCAAGTTATCTGTGTCTGCTGATTTAAAAGTGTCTAGCCTTAGCAGCTGCTGTTTAACATCCTCAAGATACTAGTGGAATGGAAAGAGTATTAGCATACGTTATGACATATGTTTATTTCCCAAATACAGAATAGAAATATTTATTGAACATTTCTCCCTTCTCTGTATTATTGATCATTCTACCATTTCCATCTAGTAATGTACCAATTCCATTGTTAAGATTATTTTTGTTCTTAATATACTTTAAAAATCTCCTCATTATCCTTAACTCTGCAGGAAATAGATTTCTCCTTGTGTCCCTTTGCTTCCCCTATCAATAGTCTGCAGTTCCTAGCTTCTAATTTATATTCATTATTATCAACTTCCCCTTTCTTCCATTTGTTTATATAATAAATTTATGATTTTATATTATATATATATATATATATATATATATATATATCATTTTGACCAAAGAAGAAAGTCCAGCTCCTAGTATAGACCTAGTAGAGGCATGATTAGTTTAATAAACATTACCTTTGCCATGCTCTAGAATAGATCCATTCATAGGTGCTGTCTCCATGGGTGGTCCAGGGCTGGAGCACCCATTGGGAACAATTTGTGGGTGCTCTGTACCCACTGGCAGCCAAGC